TTTATGCATTAACTGTTATCCTATAATTGTGAGCGGATTTGCATGCTCCGCCCTGGTTATTCCCCTTTTCTAGTATATTCTGCCCCAAGGGGTATAAAACTCCTCCATCTTGTTTAATAAAGTGGATCAGCTTTTGGCTGTGTGGGTGTTCACATCTTGTGTGTGTGTGTCTCTTATTCGGGGCTCCTCGCATAAGTGAACTTAACCTGCCAGCACTTGCTATTGCCTCTGTACTATCTGCAGGCAAGGCAAGAACCCCCCGTCGCTGGTCTGGTCCCAGGTCCCAGACAAGACTGCGACAAAAATCAGCCCTTTTTTTGGTAAAGAATTTTTAATCACTGGTACTAGAGTCAATTGGTAAACTATTAAACTGTTAAGTTGTAATTTATAGCAGCTATAATGGCAACAATGTCTGAATGATCACCCTATGCTGCCACTAAGGATATACCTCATCTGTTATAGCACGAAGTACTGGCTTTTAATGATGCATATATCTTGTTGCCTTCTAATAATAACTTATCATCAAGGACAACAGTTTAATTATATAGTACATCTCCTGCTGGCTTCTCAATATTTCTGCTACTGTTCACTAATTTCTTAGCTAAAAAGGAATCAGTCTCCTTATTTTACACTAGTACATTAATTTATGAATGAGAGACGGAAAGCTTTTATTAGTTGCCAAGGTGCCTGAATTCTTTGTGTTCTCATCATGATATAAAAATCTAGCCCAAGCTACCCATACATCCTGATGGATGATGGAGAACAGGCCCCAGATCAGTTAAAGGATGTGGAGAAAATCCCAGACCAAACTTCTCAGAGAGTTGTGCAGCACATTAATCCAAAGGTGGCACTCAGCCCAGGCCAAGTGGGATCTCCATTTACACTGATACAGTACGGGCAGCTTGAATAAAATGTCTTTCTCTTCTAGTCTTTCCTTCAGGTTCATTCTGAGCATGGGTTCACAGCACCCTTCTTGGGAACAGCACTGGCCCAGCAAGAGCAGAGGAACCTTCAGTGTGCAGGAACCTTCGAAGTGGGCACAAGCAGCTAAGGTTCAGTGTTTGGCACAGAAGCAGTGAGAAGGTAAGCTGAACTGGGATTAATGACACAAAATCAGAACTCCCTTTGTCTTTGAAAGAATAGTCTATCTGTGCAGATACCAGGGACCTCCAACATTATTCTATCCCATTAAACTTCTGCTCAAAAAGGAGTTTTGAGCATATATTCCCATGAGGACCTATTAATAGTGCTACCTACTAGAGTTTGCACTTTGCAGACACAAACTCTATCAGCCTGTTTGTTAATATGTCAGTGTTCATTCCTGGAGTAAATTTCTGTCACATCAAAACCTGTAAAATGGGAATCAGAAACCTGAGTTGAGTGAGAAGAATGTCTTAAACAGGAAACTGTTCAGAGAGATGAGATTTTGCTTCATACACATTTCTCTGAGAAATAAGTAGCTGATAATAAGTAATGGATTGTAGGGTTTTCCTCCCTCCATTTCTGAGCAACTATTTTTGAAATACTCTTGAAAATTAGAAATGGAGGAAGGAAAATGAGAAATTACAGTCCTGTAGTAAAAATAACTTTAAAGTTATTAAACTCACTATCTTCCATTACAAGTTTTTAAGTTCACGGAAACACCTCATTAAAAAGCAAGAATGCATGGGCTGGGCTTTAGCCCCTGGGGATGGTGTGGTGATGAAATAGAGAACATAGCAACAAGACTGTGTCATGTGAAAAACAAGAGGAATAAAATCCTTACTTTGGTGCAGACTAACAAGTTTGTTCCAACAACTGAGTTTGGGCTGCTGTGCTTTACTGATCCCTGCAAGCAGCAACACTGTGGTGTGCTGCAGAACACAGTGATCTGCTTTACATCACAAACCACACTACTCTGATAGAACGGTATGTCTCACAGTGGGTTGTTCCAGTTTGCCTTTCTCTCTGTTGTGCTGGCTGCAGCAAGCAGAACTCCCCAAGCACAGAAGAGGGAAATATTTTTCTGACAGAACCCTGAACCTGGCATTTGAAGCTTTCTGTCAAATGTATTGCAGTCCATGGCCTGAAAAGCACACCTCTTAAGAAAAAATCTAGCATTATGGTATCTATACTACACAATTATTCCACATCAGCTTGTACCTGTGGCCCCTGGGATCCCTCTCTATTTTCAGTGACCATCTAAGAAGCCTTAAAACAGATCTGACTGTAATAGTCGACCATTCATAATGACAGCAAGGTATCAGTATTGTTTACGTTGGAAAAGACCTTTCAGATCATTGAGTCCAGCCATTAACCTGAGCATCACAGCTTCATGTCTTTCAAATATCTTCAGGGTTGGTGACTATCACTTCCCAGGACAGCCTGCTCCAATGCTTGACCATCCTTTCAGTGGAGAAATTTTTCATAATATGCATTCTAAACCTCCCCAGGAACAACTTGAGGCTATTTCATCTTGTCAGTTGTTACTTGGGGAAAATAATGAACACCCATCTCACAACAACCTCCTTTCAGGTAGTTGTAGATAGCGATAAGGTCTCCTCTGAGCCTCCTTTCTTCATGCTACACAAACACAGTTCCCTCATCTGCTTCTCATCAGACTTGTGCTCCAGACCCTTCACCAGCTCTGTTGCCCTTCTGTGGACACGCTCTAGCACCTCAGTGTCTTTCTTGAAGTGAGGAGCTCACAACTGAATGCAGGATTTGAGATGTACCCTCACCATTGCAAAGTACAGTGGGACAACCACTGCCCTGGCCCTACTGGTCACACTATTTCTGATCCAGGCCAGGATGCCATTTGGCCTTCTTGGCCACCTGGGCACACTGCTGGCTCATGTTCAGCTGGCTGTTGACCAGCACCTCCAGGCAGGCAGGTTTCCAGCCCCTCTTTCCCAAGTCTGTAGCTTTGCATGTGGTTACACTTTGGCACTTGGCCTTGCTGAAACTCATACAGTTGGCTTCGGCTCCTCAATCCAGCCTGTCCAGATCTCTCTGCAGGGCCTTCCTACTCTCCAGGAGGCCAGCGCTCCCACCCAACTTGTTGTCATCCACAAACTGGCTGAGAGTGCACTTGATCCCCTCATTCAGATCATTAATGAAGTTACTAAACAGGGCTGGCACCAACACTGAGCCCTAGGGAACACCACTTGCAACA